GGACCCCGAAAAAATCTAAAGTCAAAATTTCTTGGGAGTACCGAGTAGTTCTGATCGGAGTTCTGTCGAACAGTATTAGGGCTCAAAGCGATTGGACCAGCGGTTTCCGAGATATACTCTCTTTAAAGATTGTTGATCTTCTGACAAATGTCGCTGTATCTTGCAAACCGATGGTCTCATCGCTTTTTCACCTGACAGTTTTCGATAGAACTCGTCGAGAACTATACGAAACGCTACTCAGAACTATTCGGTACTCTCAAAAATTTTCCGAAGTCGGACCCCGAAAAAATCTAAAGTCAAAATTTTTTGGGAGGACCGAGTAGTTCTGATCGGAGTTCAGGACAGTTCTCGGCGAGTTCTGTCGAAAAGTATTAGGACTCAAAACGATTGGACCAGCGGTTTCCGAGATACACTCACTTTGAGAATTGTCGATCTTCTGACAAATGTCGCTGTATCTTGCAAACCGATGGTCTCATCGCTTTTTCACCTGACAGTTTTCGATAGAACTCGTCGAGAACTATACGAAACGCTACTCAGAACTATTCGGTACTCTCAAAAATTTTCCGAAGTCGGACCCCGAAAAAATCTAAAGTCAAAATTTTTTGGGAGGACCGAGTAGTTCTGATCGGAGTTCAGGACAGTTCTCGGCGAGTTCTGTCGAAAAGTATTAGGACTCAAAACGATTGGACCAGCGGTTTCCGAGATACACTCACTTTGAGAATTGTCGATCTTCTGACAAATGTCGCTGTATCTTGCAAACCGATGGTCTCATCGCTTTTTCACCTGACAGTTTTCGATAGAACTCGTCGAGAACTATACGAAACGCTACTCAGAACTATTCGGTACTCTCAAAAATTTTCCGAAGTCGGACCCCGAAAAAATCTAAAGTCAAAATTTTTTGGGAGGACCGAGTAGTTCTGATCGGAGTTCAGGACAGTTCTCGGCGAGTTCTGTCGAAAAGTATTAGGACTCAAAACGATTGGACCAGCGGTTTCCGAGATACACTCACTTTGAGAATTGTCGATCTTCTGACAAATGTCGCTGTATCTTGCAAACCGATGGTCTCATCGCTTTTTCACCTGACAGTTTTCGATAGAACTCGTCGAGAACTATACGAAACGCTACTCAGAACTATTCGGTACTCTCAAAAATTTTCCGAAGTCGGACCCCGAAAAAATCTAAAGTCAAAATTTTTTGGGAGGACCGAGTAGTTCTGATCGGAGTTCAGGACAGTTCTCGGCGAGTTCTGTCGAAAAGTATTAGGACTCAAAACGATTGGACCAGCGGTTTCCGAGATACACTCACTTTGAGAATTGTCGATCTTCTGACAAATGTCGCTGTATCTTGCAAACCGATGGTCTCATCGCTTTTTCACCTGACAGTTTTCGATAGAACTCGTCGAGAACTATACGAAACGCTACTCAGAACTATTCGGTACTCTCAAAAATTTTCCGAAGTCGGACCCCGAAAAAATCTAAAGTCAAAATTTTTTGGGAGGACCGAGTAGTTCTGATCGGAGTTCAGGACAGTTCTCGGCGAGTTCTGTCGAAAAGTATTAGGACTCAAAACGATTGGACCAGCGGTTTCC